TAGTGACAAGTACAAAACTGCCAGCTTACAAGTCTGGGCTGCAGGAGAGGGTATTTCCTGAGTTGTGCTGTGTGAACAAGCCACTTCTGTCCTCAGTGGTTAGGAGGGCAGAGCGCAGTCTGTCAGCCAGAGCTGACCGGTGAAGGCAAAAACAGAGTCTCAGCCCTTCAACTAATGTTGAGTGAATCACATTTCAAGTGGGCACCAGATATGAGTTGCCCCAGGAAGATGCTTTGTGGAGGCCCGGGGGCAACTCAGCTACTAGCCAACCCCCTGCAAGCCTGAATCTCTATGTCCTGGCTCTTGTGCCACTAGTGCAATTATTAGCGAATTTGTCCCCTTTTACAGTGGAGTGCTGTTGGGTGACAGCGAAAAGTGAGGGAAAACAACAAAAGCAAAAGGAAAACAGATGTTTCAAAGAGTGGTGGTGGGATTCAAGTAACCTAGCTTAAATATCTGCAGTGGGGAAATCTCTCCCACCAAACTCAGTCATAAGGGACAAGGAAACCGTGGAATCAGATAAATATGAGAGGGAAGGTAGGGAGGAAAGGTGACGATGGATACAGGAAACCTAAGGAAAGGAGGAGGGCAGCTCTGAAGAGGGACCCAAAAAGACTGGAGATCTGTGAGTAGGGGACTCTGCTGCTCTATCGTCCCAAGGATGTCTGGGCCAGCAGTAAAAAAAAATATTCTTTACAAAGTGAGTGTGCAAGAAATGTTGAGAAGAAGAAAAGCGTTATTACTTTTGCCCTGGGGAGGAAAAGAGAAGGGTGCATATAAGATTACCTGTCTGCTTTTGGGGACCCTAGAAAGCTGGGAGAGATCCCTTTGAAATGGGAAGGTCTCTTGGCAGATTGTATATGAAACTTCCCCAGCATTTGCCTCAAGAAACAGAAAAACAGATGGAAAGAGACCCAGCAGGGAAGTGAAATCTCATTTATCTGCACAATGCCATCCTCCTGGCTCCAGCCAGCTCTCTGCATGTCAGCTACCATAGAGCCTACCCTGTCCATTCTGCTCCAGGCCTTCCCAAACCCATCCATCACCCTATGGCTTCTTATTTACAGGGAGTTTGGCACACGAAGTTGGGTTTATTGTCTATCATCCCTGCCACACATGCACATACACCCATGTAGATGCACATACACTTTGTCTGTTGCTGCAGCTCGGGATTGTCTGGAGTCCAGGAAATCTTTATGCACTCTTGCCAAAGTCTGAGCTTATCAGAGCCAAAGAGCAATCTGGCCCAGAGTATGTGCTTGAGTCTAGCTTGGTTCAGCCCTTGAGCATATAAACTGCACAATTTGTGGTCTGGGCTGATTAAAGGATCTTGATATTCTCTATTTCTCGGTTCAAGAGTTTCGTTCCTCTTGGCTGTGTCATGAAGAACATATGTGTAAAGTTAAAACTAGGACTGTCAGGGATCATGTTTGAAGTCAGATATGTGAATGAACGTAGATGATCTGATGTTCCTGCTTTGTCAAATACAAACAAATGCAGCAGGGGCAGTTTCAGAGCCTATTTCAGAGCCAAGGTGACATAACTGTATTTATAGAGGGAAAACACGCCTGAGTTTCTGTGTACCTACTCACTCCATGGCTGCCTTGCAAGATTACAAGCAGAGAGCACAGTAATAGCAATTGTATCAGTGAGCCCAGAGAAAGAGACTGCCCACAGGGAAAGTTACCCAAGATGGAAAAATAACCCTTATTTTCCCTTACAGGGTTGTGACCATCCACTACTAACCCAAAATGGATCAGAAATAGTGGCTGAGAGACAGCACTGCAACTCATTCATCAGCCCGGGGCCTACACCCTGTGTAGCTCTAAGGCCTTATCTTTGCTTTACACATTTCCTTGTTAGTAGGCAGGTTTGCTACCTCAAGAGGTAGGTCACTCGTAATCCTGAGGGTATATAACGGAAGTGCAAGGCATGGGGTGGAGTAAGGAGAATGTAGGTCTGGTGTTGTGAAGAACTACATGGGCAGCTTAACTTGGCATGCACTTCAGCTATTTCCTTTATTAATATATGAACCCTAGGAAGAGGATGAATTCTGGACTTGTTGTAATGTGTGTTTGTTTTAGAGCATCTCCTTACAAGGCCAGACTTCTTTCTGCCTGGCATATGTCTCAGGACAGAATTTCACCCTTTGCAGAAAAGGTGCATCAGCAGTGTGAGACCATTGCTGTTGCTGACATTAGTAAGTCTGGGACTAGAACCAACTTCTTGTGTGACTCTGGTCCTGACAGAGAGGGTGGAGTTCACTTTGGTGCACAGATGTTGACGAGCCTGAGCACTGAGGAGAACGAGGGATGCCGTTGTGTTATCTACCTGCATTTTGGAAGTGTGAATTTTACAGCTTCTGTAGGGTAAGAGAAATGGAAGAGGTGAGAAGAGGTTTCTGAAGTTAAAGATAGATCAGTGCGTGGAAACAAGTGATTAAGGGAAGGCTGGGACTTTTGGGCCTCTAGTACAGCAGTGTTGCATCAACTTAAGGTACCAAAACTTGTCTACACACTGTTTTGGTTTGGCAAACAGCTCAGACCTCCCCTGACAACAGTGCAGTACAGGTATTTATCTGCATTATTAATGCAAGATTCCCAGTGACACAGTAACACAGCATGTTAGCCTGCCCTCTCAGCCAGTGCAGAGATGAGGCAACCCATGTGCTCTAGCTGCACTTTCATCCTGCTGGGCAGCTTGAATAAATGCCCCCTACACTTTGAAGCAGACCTTCTGTTTAACTGCCCTGCAGCATTTAGCTGCTTTCTAGCTCCTGCTG